ATAGAGTTGTATGTTCCAGTAAAATATCCCTAGAATTATATTAAACACATTGAAACTTTCTAGCAGTAATGAATAGAAGATCACAAAATGGAAACAAATATGAATATACTTAAATAAATTTCCCCTTTAAAAAAACACATACCTTTGTCTGAAATTGCAACTCACAAAGTAAATCGTTTTTCTCACAACGGATAGTTGTCTTATCACCTAATTCCATCACCATTTTACCGAATAGTATACCACGTGCATAAAAATTTGGCATCGTAATTCGGTATACTTCACCGGGAAGGTTGGTGAAAAGAAGCTTTGTTTCACCGTGCATCAAAGTTGCTGCACTATTTCCCATGAATTTGGATTTTGGACGTAAAGTACCAAAAATTAACACATTATTCTCTGGACTTGCATAATAGTATGCAGAAATGGGTGGATGATGTGATACTTGTTCAGATATATATAATGCCTCAGTATTATCGGAATATTTCCATCGTGTACGAAAGAATTCACCCAATACAGGATTATATGATTTTTTAACACCCTAAAATGAATGTTAAGATTAATACATTTATAATATGATTTTGGAAAAAAGTTACACACCTTAGGCTTTATGTGCCATCCGGATAAATAATACCGCACAACATTTACGAATCGTTGGACACTGTTTTCTTGCTTTGGCACCCTAATAGGAAATGCAAATTTAATAATTATTAAAAAATAAATAACGCAAGTTTTAATCTTGTCTAAATTAAAGTTTGTCAAAAAATATAATGCTGCTTGATGCGCATTCAAAGTTTAAAAGTTTATGCAAGTGAAACTCAATAAACTCAATAAGCTAAGTATACTTCTTAACAATCAATAAAAATTAAACCTAAATTATATCAAAATTTCACTTTTGTGGTACACTAAATAATAAAAATTCTTCAACAAAATCGATTAATAAATAAACATAGAGCAACAACCTTAAAATTAGATCGGAATGGCTCATGAAATCAGTAATTCTTTCTAACATGCTTCTAGGTTCTAGAACGAATGCAGGTAACGCAATTCTATGCAATTCAGTTCCTTTGCGTATCTGGGCAATAAGCCCTAATATAATACGACGTGGTTTTTCATCAAGAATCTCTGTATTGTCAATATTCTCTTTTTCATCATCGTTAGCTGTCATATTAAATTTATGCAAACTATCTAGTTTTTCAAAAATTTAATTGTATTATTAAACATTTGAACAACCCAGGAATAATTATGTTAATGAATTATGAAGCCATCAAAAATATCAAATACTTACCAGCCTAATTGAAAGAGTTAACTTTCTCGAAAAATGACTTCGAAAACAATAAATAACTTGGTTTATAACGATAAAGGAGTTAATTCTCAAAACGGCAGATATTTGTTAGACAAAAATGTTGGCACACCTATGAATATACCGATATGTAATTATTTGTGTAGTCAATTAGTATTTTGCGTTCAAGAGTTTGAACCAGTTTGATCTTCCTTTGGTTTGTGTTTAAGTAACATAAATCCGTATCTATTATTAGTTTGTACGTAGCGGTAGCGGTAGGCAAAGGAATTCGACTACTTATAAAGCTTCTATAATGATAAATAGCAAGACAATCCATTGTTTTAATTTTTTTAATCTAGCATAAATTTCAGGTGGTTGAATACAAGCAGACGTATGTACGTAAGTACTTACGTACATACATATGTATACATACATATATATATGTACATTTTGTTAGGGAAAATCCGACAAATTCAAATTTATACGTATCCGGAGTTGGTTTTACTAAATTAATAAATTTTGTGGCTTTTCCACGGGATTACGACCAGATACTAATACCGGATACTGAAAATCATGTGAATATCTGAATTATGTAATAATGCTCATACACGATTTCAAATTCTATAGTCTTTATTGGGGAATCCATAACTTGCTACGTATGTGAATCGGACTTTTTTTCTGTTATTTAAATTGTAAATGATAAACCAAGTGTCAGGTTGCGGCAAAAACTCAGTTCGTAATTATGACATAATATAAAATCATTCATGCAAACAAGTTTAATTTAAATAACTTTAAGACTTACCTTTTATAGTGCTAAAATAAACAATGCTGTAATCGCTGCTTTTTTGAAAAAATTTGAGGAACATAATTTAAGTTAATTCGGAATTTTTAAAAAGGTTAGGGTTGGGATTTTTAGCAATCTAAGTGGATTCCTCCCACTTACAACATATACATAATAATAATTTTAGGTAATTTTAGGTAACTTTAGGTAATTTTAAGTGCTGCAAGTATTATCTAACGTCTCATGATCATAACTCG